AGAACAGTAACATATATGCAGATGTATGCTGTGTTATCCTACGGATATATCGGTACACCGGAAACTGACCCGTCATTTAGACATGTAGCAGGGAGAATATGATTTAAGATAAGCACATGACATAATAAGTTAATTCTACTGCAGTTCTGTAATCCCATTAGCGATACTGCAGGCCGAAATCTTCAAGTCGGTGCCAATTTCAGCTGTGCGTATCAATGCATTTCAACAGATAGTGCCGTCTCGGTGGCCTCATACGGTCATACATCATACAGCAGAGTAATCCGACTGTTAATCTTCCGAACATAACCAGGATAGAACAAAGACTTCAGTAACTCGGAAACAATAGGAAACTACCCGTAGAGACACGCAATACACATCAGGTATGGAAGTAAACAGAGATGAAAGCAGCCGATCAAAAATGCAGTACGTGTTGCTAGACGATTATTTGTGTTAAGAAATTATAGCAACAGTACCTATTCCATTGTTTAAATAATGTTATGATTTGAAAAAAAATGTGTGTAAAAGAAACGTTTATAAGGATACAGTGTGAAGTTTATCATTATCAGGACAGAAAATGATTTGTTTTTGGGGGTAAGATGAACAATTTTGATTTGTTTTAGGGGGGGGGGGTGTATTATGAAGTTTATGGGGACATAATGTGAATATATAGGGACAGAATATGACTTCAAATCAGATGAGGCCAAAATACCCACTAACATGAATAAATATTACTCAAAATATGACTTGAACATGTTCAATTTCTAAACCAATTACATTGTTTAAAATCTCTGATCTCTTGGTATCGTTTAAGACGTCCAATGGCTATCTCTCATTTGTAGTCACATGATCGAGATGAAGTAACATCCTTTCTTTAATTGCTACCTTAAGTTGATATATAGTCATTATTAAATCGATATAAATGAATAATTCAATGCCTTCATATTGAGATTTTAAACTCATTTGTATAGAACTTCTTTTTCTGTTTATACTGCTGATTTGTCAGTGTCATGTGTAATATTTTGTAGGTCATTGTTCAATTCTTTTATCTAACGTAGCTAAACCATGTATTTGTGTCATTTTTATGTCGATTTTTATATAACAAAATAAATCTCCTTTTCTGGAGTGTAGCAGTCAGCTGACTCCTCAAATAGCAACACGCATGTGTGTATAAGGTTCTCATCTGGGCGATGTCCAAGCGCTGCTCTTCTAACCATGTTTAGAGCAGATTGGACAATCAGTGTCTGATATTTAACAGACATAAAGTGCTTTCCGCTGATAATCGATCGAAAGTGTTCTGTAACAGACCCAGGACATGGTAATCGTGATTCCTTGGTACATAGAAATAAATAACGTAGATCAAATATAGAATGCAATATCAAGGAGTTTATGTAAAGATACGTGATGCCACTGTTGTAAAATACTATTGGCGATAACATTTAATGGAACAGAGATAGTAAAGGTAACAAATATATCTTGAAATGTGTTATAGGTCTCTCTATTTGTTGACGATATCCCCCATAGCGTTTGAAGATATCTTTATATTTCATTTAAAGATATCTTTATATTTCATTTAAAGATATCTGTATTTCATTTAAAGGTATCTATATTTCATTTAAAGGTATCCGCATTTCATTTAAATATATCTCTATTTCATTCAAAGATATCTGTATTTCATTTAAAGATATTTCTATTTCATTTAAAGATATATGTATTTCATTTAAATATATCTCTATTTCATTTATAGGTATCTGCATTTCATTTAAAGATATTTCTATTTCATTTAATGATTAAAAAAATCTCTTAATAATATGATATATCCTTAAATATTGTTAAATATTGTAGAGATATATCATACAATGAGAACTATACAAATTATCATTTTATATGATATCTAATCAATTAATAGAGATATTTTGGTAACTATAGATTAAAAGATATCTGTTATTTATATGAGATATTTCTTTAAGGTGTTTAACGTAATGTTGGCTTGCTATAATGATTTGTAGAGCAAGAACCTGTTATTTGTTCTTATCCTCTTTTAGAGTTTAGACATTTATCGTAGTATTTCAGTAATACCCCAACGCCCAACAGGTATCTCACGAATCAATAAGACACGTACACACTTATAGCAATCGTCTCACACATAGTATAAGTTATACTCTGAGCTATCCAGGTTTATACAACAGACACAGGATGTGCAATCAGGAAGGAAGGACACGTATGTGCGTGTATTCTAAGTTTCATATCAACATGACATCTGCTTGTAGTCTGTTTGGTTGGTGTGTGCTGTTGTGTTGATTTGTTAACTGTATTGAGTACATAGCGACTGCCTGTCAGAATTGTTTGAAAAGAACGTCGTGGGAGACCAAGGTAAAAGCAGAGGTGCTGTATGCTAAACCAGCTTATTTGTTTACAGTGTAAATAGTACTGCACATTTCTTATCGGTGCGAAACATTCTTTGAACATGTATTATATGGAAGAAAAGCTACACGTAGTAACATACATCTGGAGATAATTATTTTATTCAATCAAGTTTTTTGCTTTTAAAATACGACAGCCTCGTTATATTGATAGAAAATAGCGTGATTTTAATTCATTATATTCTTACATAACCAACTATGCGATCAGGTCTGATGTACTTATTATGTTACTATTTTTAGATATCGGAACTACTTACCCTGACACCAGCTATATTGTAATTGTTCATATTTTATTTCAAAGCGACAGCAAACAATGCCGAAGTTTACTACGCAGCGGGCAATTACGACAATTTTTTTCATACCTGTGTCATACTTAAAGTCTTTCCAAGAAACTTTATTTGATATTTTTAGACGCCAGTCATCGATCGCCAGAAACATACTTATACATTTCAGTGTTATCTATGTACAAGTTATCACTAAATGTTAAATTCTTATCTCATCAAAAAGGAAGTAATAGTAAAAGCAGATTGAATTTCAAAACTTCAGGAAATATTAACAGATTTGGTTAAAAAGAAATGTCAACTTTCGTTTTTCCTTTTTTTTCTTTTCTTAAACATCGTCTCAAAAAGAAACTTATAAGTAAAAAGTAAACACCTGCCATGCTATCCACGTAACTCAGCATTAGTCTTGCAGAAAGTGTACACGTAAATTCAATGTTTTAGCTAAATTAAAAACTTTGCAGAAAAATGACGCCCACTTCCGGTTCTCAAAGAAAACAACACTTACGCCGAACATTTCTATCATACATATAGATGACTGATTTATTTAAAGGAAAAATACGGTGTACAACATCTTATTCAAATCATGACACTTTCTTCGTGAAACGAAATAAAAAGAAAACAATCATGTGAATATAATTCTCCATGACCATAGCCATGATATAGGATCTGTAAATTGCTAACTTTGTAATAAAGCGGGGGAAATGCAGCAAGAACCTAAAATTCAGTTTTATCAATAAAGGTGATATAAGTCTGTATTAAACCGATACCAATATAAAGGTCATATCAGTCAGTATTTACGTAAATGTAACAACGATCCATTTAAACCTTGTGCCTACATAAAGGTGAAGTCAGTATTTACACTGTATTATTTATTATAAAAGCAAATCACAGTTAGTATTTTTTTTAAAGTGAGAACAAATCACGTAATTCGTACTTAAATAACCAAAGGGAAAATATACAATGAAACCTACGAAAAATACAAGAAAAATAAAACCAGGTGTTTCGGAAGGGTAAGCGTCTTTTGCTACAGCAATGACAACCGCCATGTTAATCAAAGTCGAATCAAAGTAATGTCACGTCCTCACATCAAGAGCTCGGGTAGGAATACTAAACCCACAAGGCACTCTAATGAGCATGCTAAAAGAAACACCGACCTTCGTTTCACACAAATAAACGACATAGTTCCCAATGGGATCATGGTAATCATGACACTAGTCCATGTTCCTCATCAAACCTGCACATTTGGAATCTTCGTTTTGTAAATATCCCCGGCAGCAGTCGATATACATCGCTGAAATTATAATACTCGGATGCTCTTAAATAACACACCAACTGCAATATAGTTTGGGGAAGTTTAAAAGTAGCTAACAAGAAAGAGAACGTTCACGATCGGGAAATTGAAACAAATTTGACTAACACAAATGTGATGTTTGCCCACTATAAAGTTATACTTATATAAAATTGATGACGGTTATTGTAACCATTGTGCTAACATGGAGTTAGTACAGGTAGTGTCAACACGTGTAAAACTTACTTATATACAGATTATGTCAGAAAGTGTAAAACTTACTTATATGCAAGTGATTCAAGCCAGTGTAAAACTTACTTATATACAGGTGGTATCAGCAAGTGTAAAACGTACTTATATACAGGTGGTATCAGCAAGTGTAAAACTTACTTATATACAGGTGGTATCAGCAAGTGTAAAACTTACTTATATACAGGTGATTTCAGCCAGTGTAAAACTAACTTATGTATAAGTGATTTCAGCCAGTGTAAAACTTACTTATATGCATGTGATTTAAGCCAGTGTAAAACTTACTTATATACAGGTGGTATCAGCAAGTGTAAAACTTACTTATATACAAGTGATTTCAGCCAGTGTAAAACTTACTTATATACAAGAAATTTCAGCAAGTGTAAAACTTACTTATATACAAGTGATTTCAGCAAGTGTAAAGCTTGCGTATATACAAGTAATTTCAGCCAGTGTAAAACCTACTTATGTACGGGTGTCATACACAGTGTGAACTTTTCAGCCAGTGTTAACGTTAATGTCAACCAGTGTAAATGTTGTACTAACATTAACGTCATGTCAATAAAACCCTTGTACTTATATAAAGGAGCTATCAGCCGGAGTAAACGTTGAACTGACATAAAGGGATCCCGGTACAATATCGTGCCACTCTACTGATCTAACGATTTCCAAGTATTTTGCGTGTATCTGTGACGCATCACTATATATGTTACCGTTGGGCTTTGTCGTGTGTGATTAGTATTTGTTTATTTTCTATTCCAGGTGATTGAAGGCTGTACCTCAGAACGCCATGGACTCTACAGTTCTGTTTTGGATCGTTTAGTTAAAACCAGAGTGTTGATTTTCTTATTTGCGATTTCCTCACGCCATTGGGCGCAGTATTGACCACACCGTATTGCCCAAGCTTTATGGGGAGATATGTCTCATAGGACATGCCGAACGACAATCATTAATAGTGAGATTATTTCACCTTTGATGCAAATCGTGTTAGGAAATTTCCTCTACTGGGAATTCTTATGAATATCATGGATTGGTCAACTAGAACGAGCGATGGTGGCTCCCCCGCCGCACGGAGCGACGTGTATGATAGCTCTACGCTGCCGTATCTATCCCTGTATAGTAGCAGCAGCATTAAGTTTCAGGACAGTCAGAGTATAAGTTTGGCTTCGTATGTAAACATGGGTAATTTCAGCGCGAAAAAAACTTTCCTAGCGTCCTACGATACCGTGGACGATAACATCACAAACTCATCCTTTGATGCTGATGCATTTCAACTAAAAAAGAACAACTCTGTGATGAGTGCTGGCATTATGTTCGGTACGGGTGTTATAGGTAATCTATTGGCCATTTTTGTGTTACTACGGTCAGGACCGGAACAAAGGAGAACCATATTCTACAGACTCGTCGCTGGACTCACAATCACAGACCTCATAGGAACCACGCTAGTCTCTCCAGTCGTCATAACGGTTTATTTAAACGATTTCAAATGGAAGGGAGGACAGATGATGTGTAGTTATTTTGGATATTCTATGGCATTCGCTGCTTACGCTACCATGACGATTGTGTGCGCAATGTCCATAGAAAGGGTCATCTGTATCAAGCATCCATTTTTGTATCAAAGTCGTTTGTCAAAGAAACACGCCACAATTTTTTTGTCGTGTTGTTGGATATTCGCAGCGACCATAGCAGCCCTTCCCCTGGTCGGGTTCGGCGAGTTTGTCCTGCACTACCCGTATACGTGGTGTTTCTTTGACTATTATACCCCAATGCCCATCCATAAGGGGTTCAACTGTCTGTTCGCGGGCCTGGCACTCCTCATCATATCTACGACTTTTATGTGTAATATGACCGTCATGTATACATTACTTAGCAGCTGGAGAAAGAAAAAGATATTAAATGGAAATTCTAGGAAGTACAATGGATACAATAAAAGGTTTGCCGAGTTGCAGATGCTGGTTCTTCTGGTAGGAATTACGGCAGTGTTCAGCACCTGTTATACACCGCTAATGGTAAGTACTGAGTAAAAACAACTTTTATTACCTTATACCTCTTACGGTAAGTAAAAATGTATCAGACAAGCGAGGGAACATTTAGCTTCCCGCTAATTTCTAATTTTAACCGTTGCGTTATTCGCTTGTTAACTAACATAACGACTGTATATGATTGTGGCATATTCGTTCACTTGTCAACTTTTGTCGAAATTGTCATCTCAAGAACCATTCTGTATTTTATCCATGTTTAACTTACCACTCTATGTGGTCACTTATATAAATCCCTACTAAGGCCTACCTTATTCAGATGGCATTCATATCAGCTATATATGCCAAGACCCACATCTTTACAACATTGGACAAACGGACCCTCCCTCTCCTATTCCTTACAATAAACAAGCACACAAAAAGTCTTCACTTATTTGAAATAAACGCTAACATTTGACAAATTGTTTGTATTTAGAAGAGATAAAAAAAAACTAAATGTTGAACATAAGCAGTGATTTTTTTTCAGTTGGAATTTGTAGTTAATGTAATTGACAACTACATGAAACAGAAAAAAAAACTAAAATTCTGTTGCACTTAATGGAATTGATCAAGTTTCAATGGGCATTCGCATTGACTAGGAATGTTAAATGAATGCTGTTCAATATGATGTTATACGTCACACGGTAAGGTGTGTAACTCGTAGATACAGGAACGCTGCTCCGTTACGTATACACTCGTAAGCTACAGCATTACGTACACAGATCGATGCTGACGTCAAACGAGAGCCACTGTGAGACTCTCCAGTAGCCTCATCAGTCCACGGGTCATTTCACCTGGCGTAAGGTCACGATCATTATGGCCTCATAATTAGTAGTAAGGCACGTGCGCCGATAAATTTACATATGACCACGGATAGAAAGGTAGGCTCTGAAGCGCTTGATACTCGTGTCATCATTGGTTTCTTGAGACATGTATAGGTCATTCATAAAAGAGCACTCGTGGTAGTGTCATAATATTTACGTCAAAAAGTAAAGAAAACGTTATTTTTTTTTGTCTTTTGTCCCTCTATGAGATATGATAATGACCTCCTCATTCTCAAACGGTCGATACTTGCTCTATAGTTATGATCATATATTATTATAATGGCTGATCGTTCAGTACATATTTTCTTACATAATTGGATTTCGCTGCTTGCTATATGCTAGTTTTGTTTCGCGAGTACAGGATCTTTAATATTTCATGCGGTCACATGTTCATAATACATAATTGAAATATGATCGATCCTTCCAGATTATCTACCTTGTAATAAGCATTCACTGTGATACCTTTTAAATATTAAATGTGCAACCTTACAATCAGTCGCATATAACCTACAAGCAAAGATGCATGTTATTCTTTAAAACTCGTTCAATGAGGCGAAATGCGGTATCAGTGAGATGGAACTAAGAGTGCCTCTTTGTTCATTATTTTTGTGTTTGGTTGCGTCGTGGCTGATAAAACCTCCCACGCCGTGCTTCCTTTAGGATGCTAATGTGTACTCACCTCAGGTGTCAATTAGTGCGTCGGGAAACAAAGAGCCAGTAAACCATAATGATAAACATTGAAGCCTAATGAATAGAAAGGGAGAGGAATCACGCTCGTCATAGAACGTAATATACACCGCAACCACTGATCGTGTCCGAAGTCGATTAGCTTGACCCCAAACATGCACCGCTGTGGCCATGTCATAGTAAGCACGAGAGTAGATCAGTGTTTATGTAAATGATGGATATCTCAATGTGTTCGCGTGCCAACTATCACTTGTCCTTATCTGTAATTATCCGGGATGGGGAGCATCAGAACCGACCCGGTGACCCATTGGTTTGTTGGTCAAACCCGCATATATACCTACACTCGGAACACCTCGGCTATTTTAAGACAAACTAGTGTTTTAATTGCTGGTTGTATATTATAACTGGCATTAAGAACGACCCGACTGACCTTTACACCGTGATGTCATAATGAACCGTATGGAACTATATGTCATATATTTTGAGTCTGCAGATAAGTAAATGTTAGAGATAGCGCCTGGTTACACTTCTACCTGGAAGCATTTGAAGTACAAGTATGGTTGTGAGATAGAAGACAGTTTTTATAGAGTATGAAGCAAAAACGTGTAGGAAAAACACGTGCATTGCTACCTAATTTTGCATTTTGATACCCAACAGCACAACTGCCAGGATTGAAGATTTCTCACTGCCAACGATAGGTATTTAATTATATCATACAATAGTTCTTCTAGGAGGCACGCGTATATTTAATTTACTGCGTGAACCATTTTCATTTTGTTTTTTTATTTAGAATGAATTTAATTATTGTATCAATACAGACAATAGTCACATATAATAACACATATAAACCTTACAGACTGAAGAATTTGTTCTTCATTTTGAAGAATTAATTGAATTTTTTCATAAGTATAATGGCTTACTAATGACGAATCTCTGTTACATGTTTAAGTATGACGAATCACTGTTTTACCTGTTTTAGTATGACGAATCACTGTGTTATCTGTTTTAGTATGACGAATCACTGTGTTACCTGTTTTAGTATGACGAATCACTGTGTTACCTGTTTTAGTATGACGAATCACTGTTTTACCTGTTTTAGTATGACGAATCACTGTGTTACCTGTTTTAGTATGACGAATCACTGTGTTACCTGTTTTAGTATGACGAATCACTGTGTTACCTGTTTTAGTATGACGAATCACTGTGTTACCTGTTTTAGTATGACGAATCACTGTGTTACCTGTTTTAGTATGACGAATCACTGTGTTACCTGTTTTAGTATGACGAATCACTGTGTTACCTGTTTTAGTATGACGAATCACTGTGTTACCTGGTTTAGTATGACGAATCACTGTTTTACCTGTTTAAGTATGACAAATCTCTGTGTAACATGTTTTTGTATGACGAATCACTGTGTTACCTGTTTTAGTTTGACGAATCACTGTAATACCTGTTTTAGTGTGAAAAATGACTGTGTTACATGTTTAAGTATGCCGAATCAATGTGTTTCCTGTTTTAGTGTGAAAAATCAGTTTGTTACATGTTTTAGTGTGACGAATCAATGTTTTATCTGTTTTAGTATGACGAATCACTGTGTTACCTGTTTTAGTATGACGAATCACTGTGTTACCTGTTTTAGTATGACGAATCACTGTGTTACCTGTTTTAGTATGACGAATCACTGTGTTACCTGTTTTAGTATGACGAATCACTGTGTTACCTGTTTTAGTATGACGAATCACTGTGTTACCTGTTTTAGTATGACGAATCACTGTGTTACCTGTTTTAGTATGACGAATCACTGTGTTACCTGTTTTAGTATGACGAATCACTGTGTTACCTGTTTTAGTATGACGAATCACTGTGTTACCTGTTTTAGTATGACGAATCACTGTGTTACCTGTTTTAGTATGACGAATCACTGTGTTACCTGTTTTAGTATGACGAATCACTGTGTTACCTGTTTTTGTATGACGAATCACTGTGTTACCTGTTTTAGTTTGACGAATCACTGTAATACCTGTTTTAGTGTGAAAAATGACTGTGTTACATGTTTAAGTATGCCGAATCAATGTGTTTCCTGTTTTAGTGTGAAAAATCAGTTTGTTACATGTTTTAGTGTGACGAATCAATGTTTTATCTGTTTTAGTATGACGAATCACTGTTTTACCTGTTTAAGTATGACAAATCTCTGTGTAACATGTTTTTGTATGACGAATCACTGTGTTACCTGTTTTAGTTTGACGAATCACTGTAATACCTGTTTTAGTGTGAAAAATGACTGTGTTACATGTTTAAGTATGACGAATCAATGTGTTTCCTGTTTTAGTGTGAAAAATCAGTTTGTTACATGTTTTAATATGACGAATCACTGTGTTACCTGTTTTAGTGTGACGAATCAATATCTTACCTGTTTTAGTATGACGAATCACTGTGTTACCTGGTTTAAGTATGACGAATCACTGTGTTACCTGTTTAAGTATGACGAATCACTGTGTTACCTGGTTTAGTATGACGAATCGCTGTGTTACCTGGTTTAGTATGACGAATCACTGTGTTACCTGGTTTAGTATGACGAATCACTCTGTTACCTGTTTTAGTATAGAGAACCACTCTTTACATATTGTAGGATGAACTTTCACGTTACCATACCTTGTTTACAGTTAATTGATTTGAACGGTCTTTTAAGTATAAACACGTCATCAGCGTTTATTCCATGACGCGAAAACCAAGCATGCTAATGGCCCGTCACTGTACACGACTACGTGAAGTCTGGGAAATAGACTTTCAAGTTTACTATTTAGCGACGTAGATTATGTTTGTGTCGACGTTAGTGATTGAGTTCTTGTAGGGTCACTCGGTACGATGGAAATACATTCTGGACAGCTAATTATCTTATCTAATTACTTTGTATTCTAGACTGAAAAAAATGGACGTTTTCAGACTGCGATAAACCATTAAGTTAAACAACAATAACGTGAATGTTGTGATATGCACGAGATATTACAAGTATTCTTCAATTAAAATGTTATTAAACGGTTTTTGGTGGTGCGCAATAAACACATGGTTGCACGTACTTAATTATATGCAATAATTGATTCCGTAAGGAAAGTCTAGACACCTATTTTTTTTTACAATATAATAGTCTTAAACCGAAGTTTCAAAAGCAATTGTATGCGCAGCTCTTTTGATAGTGTCCTGTTCTTCGACAAATCCTAAGTCGATACAATCTGCTGCCTAGTGTGTGATATTTAACCTCAATAGTGTTCAGCCTTTATTGACATCATTTCCCTACTTTTTGTCGATTAAATTGTCTTCAAATCATTTCGATCAGCTATGAAATAAAAGAAATCAAGTTGAAATGTGGCGGAATGGGTTCTCTTCATCATTTTTATGTTTGTTTTGATCTCATGAGAGGAATTGTAATATATTTCCAATCTAAACATGCCCATCGTTAGTCGATTGTTTTGCGGAAAACGG